ATGTGCTGGGCAAGATGACCTTTCTAAAGAAAATGGGTGAAGGTCAAGTCTCCATTTCATTTTAATAGTACTTAGAACGTGAAGATCCGTGTCACAGAAACTGTGTTGCTACGCACTGACTCAGTAGTGGTCGCCCCGTTGATCCGAAATGACACCCGGTGCTGAGACACCTATCGCCTTTTTTTGTACTACGAGTAAATACGCACTACTATATCGACGGAAAACAAGAGTTCGTACCACTTTTTGCAAAATATTAGTCCCCCTGAAGAACCTTGATTTCAGCGAGACTTTGAGGGGTACTAATGTTATATTGGTTGCTACGTACTCAGACGAAGTCCCATTGAGATAAAAGTTTTACCACAACTATTCCTCGCACTGAGCAATATTCTTGCAAACTTTGGGCGAAATCAGACAAACTCTTTTGGATTTCAGAGAAGCACTGGATTTTCGAGGTTTTTGGGTTTTTATCCACAGAAACATCTCTGAATGTCCTAACAAATAACCTATTTCTGATCAGCATGAAAAACTGCATCAAGTGAAAATATCCTTTGGAAAAATGTGTTTTGGGGTCTCGCTTTGTTAACTTTCCTTTGAAAGTGACTTTCCCCGTAGAATTGAATAGGACTGAAATAAAAATAGTCTATTTGTGTTGCAGATCCACCTGTTGCTCGACATTATCAAAAAATAACTCTTGAACAAGGTGCTAAAAATCTACGGTTTACGTCAATGAATAGAGATATGTCAGATCCACAACCCGTGACATATTCCGCTCCGTTTTTGGCCGTCCAGAACTCTACTCGAGAGGAAAAAGGAATAGAAGCTTTTGAACCGCTTGGTAAAAACGTTTGCCACTCGAAAACAATTTTTTGGCAAGTCATAGCATAAATTCAATTAGAGAAACTTTACGACTGTCTACTACAGATATCTCCTACGAAAACGAGTTCTTCATTTCATAACTGATGGGGTTCAGGCGTTTTTGTGATATTAGAGGCAGCTACGAGAACTGTGTAGATGAGGAGTTTTAGAAAAATATCATTATGAAAACGTTTTGAAAACTATTGCACGATAAAAAGGTTCGATCGGCAAGACACTAAACTCCTTCCACATCTAGTTCGAATGGACTCGAAGTGCAGTCATTCATGGAGAAAAGGTAGACTGTATACTCCTACTCGCTGCATCTTCCATCCAAACCAAAAGACCACTGCACACCACTCGAGGAGACACACAAATGAATGAGAGAGGAAAACAAGACACACGAGGCACAGCACGCAACGCAGAAAGAGCGAAAGAGAGGAATGAGAAAGGAAAAAAAGGAAAGAGGATGCCCCGCTGGCGAAAGAAAAAGGATGAAGAATCAGAGAGGTTGCTAGACAACAGCAGCCTTATGTAAAAAAAATAAAGAAAAAGAATAAGAGACTGTCGATTCGATTCCTCTATTAATAAAGATGGTAGCAAAACATATAGCTATAACAGCAGCTTTAAATTTCAAGTTTATTTTATTAATTATTTTAATAAGTCGATGTTTCGGTAACTCGGTTACCATTGTCAAGACAAAAGATGTTACAAAATAATAAGATAGGTATAGAAGAAAGAGAAAATATAGGCATACATTTGTTAGTTCTAGTAACCATTCAGGTGAACGAACAATACCTTTACCATTTAATTCTACAGTTTGTTAAGCGCTTAACAAACTGTGTCCCTCCCACGGGTATATTTAATAGTCACTGTTTTTAATTTAACTTGTGGTTTTGATGTTTGTAATCCATCTGGGAATATAACAAGAAGTGCTGAACATACGGTGCCGTTTAGTGGCGGTTGTCTTTCTAAAATCTCTAATGATTCTAATATGAGCAATTGATATCTTCTTGATTCTTTGGATAATATTTTCCATTTAGTCCAATCTAATTTGTGATTATTTTCAATTTCATGTTAATATAATGCTGAATTTGTTAAGTGAGACATATTATCTTGTGTATCATAGTCATCAATTTCAAAATATTTTGTTTCTTTGTAGTTAACGTGTTTTCCTTTGTTTCGCTCGGAAAATCTTAATCCAAGTGTAGGATCAACTGTTGTTGTTTCTGATGGTGAATTAAGATGGACCTATTTTAATTGAGGTTCACCATGTTCTTTGAATCTTCGTGTTGCTTGCCTTCTAGTGTGACCTATATCCCCGCGGTCATGAAAAACCGAAAGGCTTGTTTCTTTGATTT